AGTATTTACATCCTTGTGTTACCTTCTCTCTTGGGATTCAGTATGGACCTGTGATTGCTTTAACCGGTATAATGTGGCTATATTGTGCCAATTCCAGGTCTCACCCTTAAGTAGGCCTGACAGCTTCCATTTTTGTGTCGTTAGGAGCCCTGGACTGCCATGACAAACATTCAGCTATCTTGTTAAAGGAAGAGACCGCATGGAGAGGCCATGTGAAGAGGGAGAGACCCCAAAATACTGTGAAAAGAGAGGATCCCAGGCAGGTTAAAAGCAGGCAAATGCATGACCACTGGGAAAACCCACAGAAGACTCACTTAGCAGAAGCTATTCCCAGTAATCTGCTAGCTGAAAGCAGCTACTTTTGTGAACACTGGCCAGACCATCAGAAGAACCACTCATTCGAGTCAGTTCAGCTTCCAAGAATCAAAAACAAAGAAAATGATAAGTCACTAAAATTTGGGGTCGTTTGTTGCACAGCAATAGAAACAGGGGCATGTAGGCCTCTACACTGCAGACCAAGGGGCAGTGAACAGTCTTGGACTCTCACCTCCTGGTTTCTAGTTTTAACTTTGCTGCTTTGCTCTGTACAAAGGCCTGACAAGTACCAGTTCCTTTGCCCCCTGTCAATCTGATTAGGACACAGTAGACATAGTTATCTTGTTAGTATATATATTTGAACAGAAACCTTTACCGGCACCCCACCACCACCACCACCACCAATATAAGGGCAGAAGTAAGTGGAATGAGGAGCAGAAGGCAGATGAAATGACGGAGCTCCACTTAGGCTGAAGTGACGCACAGAAGGCTTGCTGGAGCACATGGGGTTGGCTCTGAAAGGGAAGGGACTCACATGAAATTTGGACGGTAGCATTAGGGTGTGGGCCTGGCTCCAGAAATCAGAGGCCCAGGGCTGTCTGAGTTTCTCTGAAAACTAGAACTTTCTATGAAGAGCACTAATAGTGAAATTGTAACTTCCTGTATAGTGTGAACTTCAGGTGTGTATGTATGTGTGTGAGAGAGAGAGAGGGAGAGAGAGGGAGGGGGAGAGAGAGAGAGAGAGGACAAGGGGGATAGAAGAGATGAAAAGATAGAAAGACTTAAACTCAAAAAATAAGAAATTTCCTTAGAGCTAAAAGGTAGATGCCTTTTTTAAAAAGTAAGATTTCTTTATTTATGTTCCTTCTTTCTTTTATTTTTAATTGTTGGAGATTCATTGAGGGTACAAGAAACCAGGTATTTTTCTTCTTTCTTAGCCCTCTTACCTTACCAGCTTAAGAATCACCATATTAGCATTTGGGGAGCTAGTGAATAAGCGGGTGGCTTCCTTTCCTGGCCTGCCTAAAGGCTGAGACTGCTGCTGACGTCAAATTTCTGACCAGCCCAGGCCCCATTATGAGACAGAGCTAGGGATCCAGGTGCAAACTTAAAACATATGATTCCCATCCATTCCACTGTAAGTACCAGGAATGGAAAATGTAAATGGGGACATCAGGGACAGTTTGTCACACCAGGATATGGTGTTCAGGTGCAATCAGTGTCCCACTGAATGGCAGGGAGAGAGCAGGAAGAAAGAAATGACCAGCCCTTGCCATTGGGAACATCAGGTTTTTGTCTCAGCTTTGAGGAGGAAACTCCCTGCTGTCTCTTGCTGTGATCCACAGACTTAAATGGAGGTTCCTGTGTCCTGGTGAGTCCTCCTTAGTGGCCAACCTCCAGGACAGGAACTGAGCCATAGTGAGCCAAAAAATCTTGATTAGTGAGTAGGGGTGAGAAGGCAGAGCTTTTTATTAGCAGGATGTTTGTACTGAGATGAGGATGTTGAAGGCAGGAGTCAACATTTCCCAAGGTTCTTTCTTAAAATACATTATGTTTAACTTTGGAGCTCCTGACTCACCTTCAGGCTGGGCATTCCATCTTGGGGCTACTGTATTCCCAGGAGTGCCTGGGGAGACCAGCTCATTCCCCACCTACAGTATCCACAGAAACATCTGCTTTAGCTTATTAGAAAGTCAAAACAACCAACCATCAATCCATCATTTTTCTGTTTAAGGATAAATTCCTGATGGCTGACGCACACCCCTCCCCAAGTGTTCTCCCCTGGACTGCAGGATGTGTGTGAATGTGTGTGTGTCTGTGAAACTGTGAACTGATTTTGATGATAATTTGAAGAGCCTCCTACATTCTAGTTTACTTAACCTTTCCATGCAAATAGCAAGACTTCTCTCTGGGGAATCATGGAATGACTACTGACTCATTAGATAAGCAGTGAGCCCTGGAAACAGGAAGAAAAATAATGGGCTCTCAAGGCCAATTTTATTCCTTGTCTTTTCATCCACTGGTGACTCAGCATTCAGAAAGCAGTCTGTACTCAGAGTCAGTAGACTTAGAGTCTGTAGACTTGGGTTCAGCTTGCAGTCCTCCAGTGAAATTTGTGACCTGAGACAGATATCTTAGCCTGCCTGGACATCAGTTTTTTCTTTCATAAAATGGGAATAATAATGCCCATCTTGACACAGGGTTTCAAGAGGTCAGAATGGAATACTGGGTGGGAAGGCCATTACAGAGCATCTTTACTTGAATTCCCTCCTACGACGTGAACACCAATAAGCCATGTAACCTATTTTGGATGTCCTTCTGTGATATGGAATTCATTCCCACAGAAAGCCCATTACCTTGTGGGATAGCTCTGATTTGTTCTGAGCTAAAAACTGTCTTCTTTGCCATTCCACCAGTGATTCTCCTCCATGTGCATATAGAGAAGTAACTCCAATCTGTCTTTGAAAGAACAGCTTTCAGAAGTCTTGCAGTAGTGCCACGTCTCTGATATAGACAGTTTGTGAGTCTTCCCTCTGCCAGGGATCCCTCTACATACACTCAATCATGGCTAATGTTCTCCTAAAGTATTTTAGGCAATTTATAACCCTCAGTGTATTATTTATCTGCACTGAACGTGGTATCCAAATGCTTCTGTTAATGCAGAGGATTCTTGAGATAGCTTCTTTGATGGCCATATCCCAATAGTGGCATCACCTCTGTAATTTCAACAGCTAATACCTAACTTTCTGATTACCACCTCTGTTCTTTCCAGCTCATTACACCTAGTATTCCACTCAGTAATTCTTAAACTTCACCAAGACTTAGTATCCATTCATCCTACCATCTTTTCACTGTCCCTTGCCACTTCCCTCCATCACATCCTCAAGTTCCTTCTTACCCAGCCTAGACCTCAGGATACAATTATAACCATTCCTTTGGATACACTCTCAACTCCTTCTCTTCCCCTTTCTCTCTTGCCTTGCAAAAATCCCAAGCCCGGACTACCTCCTATTCTCCACCTCTTCCTGCCCTGCACCCAGATAGTTGAGCCCAGCTAGAGAAAATAGAAACAACTCAACTGGCCTAAGTTAAATTCATGACCGGTAACCCCAAGGGGTTGCAGAGAGCTGCCCAGAGACCAGTTGCCTGGTCTGGCCATCCCCCCATTCTCCTAGATAACTATAGGTCGCACCTCTCCATTCTTTGCTTTTTTTGGAAATGAGGTCTTGCTCTTGCTATGTTGCCCAGGCTAGACTCAAACTCCTGAGCGGCTGCACCCAGCCCTCCTCCATCTTTAACCTTCCCCATCCTCACTCTCCATCGATGACCTTGTCTTCCAGCAAATGGGACCCTGCACAATCCCACTCCCCCCATCTGCCCCTCTGTGTCCAGGCTCTGCCCTCCCTCTCTCTGTGGATGAGTTTCTGTGCTCTTAAGACTAAGTCCTGCAGGGGTGCCCCTCTTGCTTACTCAAGAACTTTTACCCCCATCCCACATTCCATCATTAAATTCTTCTTTTTTACAGAATCATTCCCATCTCAAATAACTACAATATTATCTTTCCTTCATCTTAAAAAACAAAACAAAGGACAACAACAGCAAAACACTTTTATCTCCAGATACTGAAACCAGATAAGGGGACTCAGAAGGGTTCAGTAATCTGCCCAAGGTCACACACCTGGAAAGTACAGGGTCTACAGTCAAATACAGTTTGCCCAATCTCAACCCCCACCCCACGAATGAGACTCTGAGGGCTGCAGAGACCAGAGCAGCCCTCTCTCTAACCTGCTACTGTGGGTTAAGTGGCTGAGCTTGGGCAAGGGAGCATTTTGCCAGGGATGGGCAGACCAGCTCTGCCAAAGCTGCATGTGCTCAGGGCAGCCAGAAAGGCTGGGCTGGGTGCAGTGGCTCACACAGGCTACTCGGGAGGCTGAGGCCAGGAGGATCACTTGAAATCAGGAGTTTGAGACTTAGTGATCTGTGATCATGCCACTGTACTCCTGCCTGGGTGTATGTATTTTTCTACATTTTTTTTTTTTTTTAAAAGACTGTAGGTTTTCAAGTGGGAAGGGGACCTACTTTGTCTGTCTTGAGCACCTTGCCTCTCAGACTAAACTGGGTGGGTGGAGGCTGTTACAGGACTCCATGCCAGCTGCATGCCACCCACTGCAGTGTGAGTGGGTGGCCACAATGGGACTGGCAAGGAAGGCAGAAGCTGCTGATATTGTGCACCCCAGTGAAGAGATGGCACCTCATAAATCTTGCAGGCCCAGAGCCCGTGCAGTCTGCCACAGTGGCTCATTAATATTTCGTCATCCTCAGTCAAGGTGGAAAATGCCTGTAAATGTGCCAAGCTCCTTCAAAGGCATTTGGTCAGAAAGGCACACATCTTTCCTCTGCCACTTACATGACTACTCATGCCCAGAACCCTAAATGGCTCAGGACAAGGGTGCTGTCTTCACGTGACAAGGGACACCTAACCTCCTCCAGATCACAGAGGCTTTAGCCATCAGGCCTGTCCCCTCCCTTCCTTCTCTGCTCCCAAAGATCTTCCCCAAGAGTGAGTCCATTCAGCCTCCAGCACACACCTACTACCTCTTGTGCATCAGCTGAAACCAGGGTTGACTTCAGTCATGGAATCCCTTGAGAGTCCTCTTTCAAAAGGGCCTGACTGACTCACTTACTTGTCTGTCACAGCCTGCATGAACTCGTCCAGCAAGTCATCGTACTCCTTCCCGCGCACACGCTGGTGTTTCAGGCCAATGTACAGAGGGTCTCTGAGCAGCTCCTGGAACAGACAGTACCCATTTACAGAGCCTACTCTTGGTCTTCCTGTGTTGTTTTTTTTCCCCCAGCAGGTGTTGAAGTTCAAGGAGAAGAACCAGGGAGTGGGAGGGGAGAAGGGAGAAGGAAGCTGGCTAGATCCCCTATACCCTGCCAGTGTCATCTCTGGAAGGGTCTGGGGATCAAGCCACTGACTGAAGGCAGACTCCAAGTCATCCCCATGTTAGGAACCAAAGAAGCTTTGACTGTCTCAGAGACAGTCTTCCAACCCTTGGTGCAGGCTCAGGGGTTATTTACAGGTTTCTCAATAGTGGCACTACTGGCATTTTGGCTTGGATAATTCTGTCCTGCTTATTTTAGGATATTATCATGATCTCTGTCCTCTAACCACTAGGAGACAGCAGCACTCCTGGAAGTGACCATTAAAAATATCTTCAGACATTGCTAAAGGTATTCTTGAGGGGAAATTATCCCTGTTTGAGAACCACTATACCTGATGTTAGGCAGCATCTGGATTGAGGCAGTGGGTCTCATCCAAAGTCTCTGATCTGGACTCAAATTACAATAGAAAACCCACCCTTCCTCCTCTCCCTGCCTCCCTTTCTTCCTCCCTTCTTTCCTTTCTCCCTCTCTCCCTTCCTTCCTCCCTCCTTCCATCTTTCCTTTCCTTTCTCTCTCCCTTCCTTCCTTCCTTTCTTCTTTCCTTCCTATCTTGCCGAATACTTACCATATGCCTCACATTGTGCTGGGCCCTGGGGAATACAAAGATAGCATGATACAACCACAAATTTCAGTTCAGGAAAGAGACCCACTTTGCCACCCAGCCTGTGCTGGGCCCCCTCCACCCTGCCTCCTGCAGTTCTTTCCATCACAGCAGTCATATGGTCTGAGCAACCACGTTCACTGGCTGACTCCTATACAGTCTGTAGACTCATTCGTGCAGGACACATGCAAAGATGACATGCTACTGCTGACACTGGGCCCAGTGGTAAGAAATGGCTGCTGCCTTCAAGGAACTCACAGTCTATTCTGGGGGCTGGTGAATAAACTAACTCACTTTCCTGCAAGGCACCGTGACATTGCTTTGGAGCCAAGTGTGGCACATGGCAGCACAGAGAAGGAGCAAATCATTCCCCTTGGGGGGTACTAGTTGGAATTGTGTCATGGAGAACATGAACAGGCATTAGAGGATGGGCAGATATCAGCAGGTGGGCTGAGTTCCAGGCTGAGCAGTCACCACAAAAAAAGATTGGGGATGGAGGCAAGAGGAGAAAAAAGTACAAGATGTGTTCAAAAAATGGGAAGAAATTGCATGGATTAAGGGCTTCCATAGTTATTTATTGTTATGTCTAACTCATCAAAAATATGAGCCTCTTGAAGACAAGGTTTTGTGCTACCTTCATCTGCATTTGAACCGCTACTGTGCCACACGAAGATAAGGGCCACATGGACCTACCCAGAATGGGCTTAGAGTCCAGTCCCGCCTGCACCACTGACAAGCTGTGAGATTTTAGGCAAATCATATGACCTCTAGGAGCCTTTTTCTCATCTTTCAAATGGGTATAAGATATGGGTTGATTGTAGTGATCAAGAGAAGACAACTATGTGAAGAATTATAACTTTTGCCAGAAAATAGTGGTAGCAGTTTAGCTTTTCTGGTGTTTCCTCTGTGGCACATGCTGCTCTTACTGCCTGATGTGCTTCAGTGAACCCCATGAGGTCACCTTCTTAAGGGAAGCTGCTGAGGGAGGGCAGCTGGGGGATGTACGTCAGCCACCACACTCTGTCCGGCTCCTGAATGACTGAGCATGGCTGGGGAAGGGAGGAGGCCCTTCCTGCCCCACTGAGCCTCCACACAGGCAGCCTTTACACAGGGACTTCTCTGGGCCTGTAGGAATTCCCCCAGGGCTGCACTGCGGCCAGGACGCCCTTGCGCAATCCTCGCTCCTTCCCTCTCTCCTTTCACAGGTGTCTGACCTGAATTGCAGTATGAAGGCCCCACCGACCTCCTACTCCTGCTCCTTCCCCTGTATTCTTCACAGATGTTTCCCCAGTAACTCTCTCATACATCTGTATCCTTGGAGGACCTCAGGGGCAAGTCTTATTATTCTCCCCATTTAACAAATGAGGCAACATGACAGAGGAAGGTTAAGTAACCTGCCCAAACCCTGGGCTCATAAGGGCAAGAGTCAGGGTTCAAACCCAGGCTGTCCAGCTCCAGAGTCTATGATTTCAACCACTTGGCTGTACGGCATAGGTGGCTCTTCTGCACATCACGAAGAATGGATTCTTTTTTTTTGAAAGGCACTGCTCAAGGTCCACACTGTTTTTGTACCACTGTAGGAGATGGTTGGGGGAAAGATGTAGGAAACAGAGAAGAACAAGAAATAGCTGCCTTCTCAGCGCCTCACCCCCAATCCTGAGTCTACATGGTTTGTGTACTTTGTCCAAGGCACCACAGATCTACACTGAGAAGGAAGGTGGGTCCTGATCTCCTTCTCTCATTCTTCTCATCCTCTGGATTAAACATCCTTGAAACTGTTTAAGATTCTTCCCTAGTAGACATAGGACAGTGTGTGTGTGTGTGTGTGTGTGTGTGTGTGTGGCAGGGAAATAAAGGATGGAAGTGGGACATACATGTAATTTGGTGCCTACCCTTCCATCTGCCACCTTCAATGTAACCATCCAAAGCCATTGAGAGGTAGCAAAAATCCAGCATGGGAGAATGGTAAACAATGGTATAACAGCTCAAAGGACAGTAAGGTGGCCATTAAAATTGGTGGTTTTTAAAACCATGCAGTTGCCTAGACAAATGTATATGAGATTATTTAACGCTAAAAAGTCCTGATACAATTCTGAAATTCAGATAGCAGATAGTTTCAGAACCCCAGCACGACTCAACCCGAACAAGACATCCCCCAGACACATCATAATTAACTTCACCAAAGTTAAGATGAAAGAGAAAATTCTGAAAGCAGTTAGACGTAAGAAAACCATAA